AGGAGAAGGAATAAAAAAGAAGGAATAAAAAAAGAAGGAAAAAAAAGGTTGTTGTGGGATAATTGCCGCTGCCAATGGCGCGAAAGTGTTAGCATTTGCGCCAGTGGTAAAGCCTTGTGCTTCACGCATGGTCAGTGCGAGAATAAGCATTTTCAACAAAGTTCTTTAGAGCTCTGTGAGTGACAGCATGACGTTGTGTTGATAAAGAACAAGGAATTACCAGGGCATCACGAGAACGAGCTTGTGAAAGGTAGCCACTGCCAGAAAAAAAGAGAAATCTACTGAATCGGGTGCCCTACGAATTTGGGGGTTTCTGCTTATTGGTCTCGTTGCTCTGTTGTCGTGATGCTACGCTTGCTTGCTAAAATCAGAGCAACACTTTACACAATATACATATATACGTCACCCCAAGATCTCGTGGTAAAAAATAACCCTCAAAATACGCTCACTCTAGGCTCCATCGCGCGCCTTTTACCAAGCCACCACTCTCATAAGTGCGCCACCCAAGCTCCTTCTCAAAGTTTCTTTCAGTACCACCAAAGTTATTCTTGACGCCTCAGCTATAAAAGCCCCATTGTCCCGACCTTCGAGCCGCATTTGAAGAAGAAAAAAACCGTTAGAACTCCGTCTCCCTTCTCGCGCACCTCGCACATCAGTCCGAGAACATGTCTCCAACCTCGTTTCATGGGATGCCGCCAGTGACCACATTGAGGACATGGACCACAGATTCAATCAGGTCTGAGTCAGCTTGGCCTTATGTCAGGCACCTCATTAAATCTTATTCAAATCGGCCGTATAACAGGGGCCACGTTGTACAGGCCTCCATCAGTTACATGCCGAACATCATATCAAGTGTCGATGAGACTGATTCTCCAGCACCAGCTCCCTCTCTACCTTCGCTCCCATCCCTCCCTCCAAACGAAGCTGTAAGTCGCAAGCACTCTCTATTCGTACATGGCTCTCTACAAGGTACATTGCTAACAATGTAGACTACTACGACGACTGCCCAAGAAGAAACTTTTGTTGACAAAATGATTCGAAATCGACTCTGTAGCCCTATAATTTGCCTTCCTGAAAGCCTTCTGACTAAGATTATGAGCTATGCCGACGAAGACACTCTTTTGTGTCTGAGATATACCTCACGCATCTTTTTCATTCTTCTCAGTGAAAAACCAGCATTTGAACCCCTGCACTTTACGCCAGAGGCCGACGGCCAACGACCCAACGACACAGCAAGACTGGGGGCAGTGCCACGCGCTCCATCCCCTACGCATCAAGAAGCAAGTTCCCCAGACGGCCGGCCACCGTGCAGCAGATGCTCACGGCGGCTCCATGGAGACATGTCAGGGCCGGCCGTGTTACCAGATGTGTCTCGTCTTCAGTGTTCTGTTTGTACCGCCGCCTTCCAGGCAATGCGCCACTCCGCACTCGAGCTCAGATCACAAAGAGAGAGACTGCATCGGGCATGAGCGCTCGGTGTAAATACACGAGGATGAATTCGTCTATCTGTAGCAACTTGCAGTCGGAGGCGCTTCTGAAGCTCGGGGAAAGCACACCTACCGCCTCCCACACGACGCTTCTCGGCCAAATTGCGAATCTAAAATATGCCCAGACGACAACGGCCGTGGACCAAGGTCTATCACGACGGTTGTGCAAAGTTCGAAAGCTTTCGTACACGGCACTTTTTAAAAAAAAAAAAGGAATATCAAGCGGAATTTTTTATCCCTCGAGCCTACTCAAAGAATCACATCGCTTTACAGAATACCAGGACATCTGTACTTGGAATGTGATGCTTGGTAATGGGGCATTTAATGAAATGCAAGCCTTTGACCCGAATCTCTGCGATTGCGTCGACTATTGGGACGGGCTTTAGTCCCTCAGTGCAGAGTCAGTACCCGATAAGCCTCTGTCCTATGTCATTCATCACGCGCTGACAAGAAAAGGCACCAGAAGGCTATGCCCACCTGCGACATGGTTCACCTTCACTGGTGTCGGAATCGAGCTGCGTGTTGACTTTTTGCAATGTCATGACAAAAAAAGCAGAAAAAAGTGCTGCGTCGTACGTAAGACGCTCGATTGCACTATCGAGGTAAAACATGTGCGATCGAAACAGACTCAATAGATGCAGCTGCGAAAACAAACAACAGTCACAGAAAAAAACAGGGAGAGAAAAGGTGTTAATTAAAATGAAACAGATCATCAAGTCAGGATTCTATGTAATTCTTGGATAATAACACATGGCCAGAACTTTATCAAGAGGCTCGCTCAAAAGCTACTGCAAAGGGTACTCACAGTGACACTCGCCCCCACCCGCGTGGAGATGTAGTGTTTATAATCGTGTGAAAATTCAATCCGAAATGTGAAGATGTTTAAACTCACCTAGACGTTTACCTCATCATTTACATAAGTTTCATATTAATCCCAAGTCGTCACTTACACGCCTTGTCAGCCCCAGTCGGCCGCCCGGTGGAGCCATCGAAAGCTCCCTTCCTTCAACTCTCTATCACCATGTTGGCTCCAATTTGCACCTCCCATCACACACCACCCAATCGCGAACTCCCTCACACGATTTCGATCCATTGACGTCGCATATACCGAGAAATACACAATCCAGCACATACAGCCTGATTAAGGGCGAGACCCCGTCGGGCCCCCGACCTGTTGCGCCATGGCCTCGTCGACGCCGCAGCCGCCACCGCCCGTGGACGAAAAGTCGCAGTACGCGCACCAACCGTCGCAGCCGTTTGAGCTGAACCTGCAGCACGGCCACAAGGACCTGGTGCAGGCCATTACATTCAACACGTACGGCGACCGATGCGCGACCGGCTCCGTCGACGGCAAGATTCGCGTCTTTAACCGGCACAAGGACGGCACATGGCGCATCTGCGATACCTGGACGGCCCACGGCGGCGAAGTGCTCGAGGTAAATCATTTCCCCTCTTCTTCTTCTTCTTCCTCCCCCCAACCGTCAGGATTTCCCCTCCGCTGACATTTGGATTTCTGCACCGCAAAGCTCCAATGGCTACCTGCCACCGTGTACCCCAACGTGCTCGCGTCACTCGGCACCGAAGGCTGGTTTCGGCTGTGGGCTGAAGACCCATCCGCGACACCGGGCCGCCGCTTCTGCGCGGGCCGCACCTCGTCCGGGCGTCCCATCTTTGACACACGCTCCTCCTCTTCCCGCGGCGGCGGCAGCAGCAGCAGCAGCAGCAGTAACAACAGCACTTACCGCTCCTTTTCCATGACACACAACGACGAGACCAAGCACACACATCTAGCGCTGCTGACGACCGAGGGCCGTCTGACGGTGTGGGAGACGGAGCAGCCCGAGGCGCTCAACGAGTACACGAGCATGGACGAGTTCCTCGTCATCCCGCAGCGGCCGCAGCGCGGCCAAGAAACCGCATTCAAGGTCGTCTTTGACCCCAACCCGGAGCCGTGCTACGCGGCGCTGCGCGCCGGCGTGCCGACGGACGCGCTGGGGCTCGCCGTCGCCGCCATGGACGTGGTCAGGATATACCGCTCGCGCGAGGTGGTCGCCGCGAGCTACGGCCTGGACACGCCCAAGAAGGAGTTTTACCTCGCCGCCGAGGTCACCGGCCACAGGGGCCTCGTGCGGGATATCGCCTGGGCGCCGGGCAACATTCGCGGCTACGACATGATTGCGACGGCGTGCCAGGACGGCTACGCGCGCGTCTTTCGCGTCGACACCCCGCTCGACAGCAGCAGCAGCACCAGCAGCAGCACCAGCACCCCAAACGGCCACGGTTCCTGGGCCGCCAGCACGCTCATCACGCCGGAAAAGTCTCTGCAGCAGCACCGCGCCGCCGTCGCCTCCCTCGGATCCGCCTCCCCCAGCACCAAAGACGACGACGGTGGCAGCGGCATCAGCAGCGCCCACCCTCATCCTCATCCTCACCCTCACCCTCACCACCATCACCATCACCATCCGTCGAGTCTTAGCGCGAGCCTGGCCAGCAAAGCCGCGAGCGGTAGCAGCAGCGGTGCCGGTGCCGGTGGCGGGGGCGGGGGCGCGGACTCGCGGCTACGGACGATTCAGCCGGGGCAGCCGGGGGCGGTGACGCACACGGCGCGCGAGATTTCGCGGCTCGATAATAGCCGGACGCCGGTGTGGCGCGTGGGATTCGACGACGATGGGCAGATTTTGGGGACGACGGGCGACGACGGCAAGTTGCTGTGCTATAGGCAGACGCCGGACGGGAGCTGGGCCAAGAGCTCCGAGATGATGATGATGAAGACGCGAATGGCGGCGCCGTGAGAACTGGTGAACATGGGAGAAAGCGGGTTTAATGGTGATGAATGACTGTATATATAATCTACTACCGGCGTATTGGGGAGATGCATAGATCTAACAAGCAAATGAGATTAATCAATCTACAGCACTTGAGTTATTCGACGAGCAATTCAATGACAGGTTTTCAGCTGTGGCAAGATAGTGGCAAAATTCGACAAACTCAGCAACTTCTGGTCGCAGGAGGGCCTTGGCCATGAGATAAAGGCTGCAGAAAATCAACACATCACAAAGGAGCAAAAGTAACAATTCTTGGTGGGATAATATATTCATGGCAGCTATGGTCTCGAGACAAACTTCATCTCTCAGCGCGGCCTATTCATAATTCAACGTGTCGTATTCTCAGAGTGGAATAGAAGTCGTGTAAAAACAGATGAAACAACATGTATAAACTCCAAGCCCCTCATAACGCCATATTCATGATGATGTTGGACAATTCGATATCCATTTTCAAATGCGCAGAAACGATGTAGCGGAATTCGCATAAGCGTAGGCAGCAAGTGCTTGAATAGCGTGGAACGCACGCCAGACGCTCACCTGCCCCCCCAAACTACTGTCGTATGACCAGTGTTTTCATTTTTATTTTTGCAAACAGTAATGAGCACCAGAGTATTGCTTACGCGGCATCAGCACTGGCAACAGGAGCAACGACCTTGGTGACCTGGTTGCCGGCACGGATGATGCGCTGGCCTGTCGAGTCGTTGACATAGGAGACGTCCTTGTTCTCAAACTGGGCGCGCTTCCAAATTTCAACCTCGCAGCCACCGCGAAGGACACCGACACGCATGGTGGACAGCAAATTATGGGCAGCGTTGGAATGAAGGTAGACGCCACCGTTGAAGATGGCCGTGGCGTCCTTGCCGATGGCGGAGCTGATGAGAGCCTTGCCACCAGGGTGTTCCTTGATAAAGTCGGTCACGTCGTGGATGACACCAGCAATAGCAACGAGGGCCTTGCCGTTCTTGGACTCGGCGACGAAGTCGTCCCATGAGATGACGGGAAGCTGCTCGAGGGGCGTGCCCCAGTCGAGGCCGGCACGCTTCTGGTCGAGCTTCTTCTGAAGCTGCTGAACGCGGCCCTTTTCAATTTCGTTGGAGCGAAACTGCTTGAGGTCACTGGCGAGCCCGAGGAACTTCCACGTGCAGATGGCCCACTTGGTAGGGTCGTACTGCCACCACTCAATAGCGTTGCGGTAGTCGGAGGGGAACTCGTGATGAAAGTTGTGGTAACCCTCGCCAAGAGTGACGAGCGCGGTGATGACGTGATCGCGAGGCGAGTTGCGGTCGTCAAAAGGCTGGTCGCCGAGCCAATGGGCCAAGGAGTTGACACAGAAGGTAGCCTGCTGAACGAACCAAATACGGAGAATGCCGCCATAAACGAAGCCACCCAGCCAGTCATTCCAGAGCAGGCCACAAAAGAGAGTAGGAAAGACAAGAGCAGTGAAGATGACCGACTTGAGGTAATGCTTGTGCTGCCAGACGACGACGGGGTCCTCGTTCAGATCGGTAATGTCGGTACGGCCGGTACGCTTGGGGTTCTGCTTGAAAACCATCCAGCCGAGGTGGGAATAGAGAAGACCCTTGCGAACCGAGTAAGGGTCTTTGTCAGTATCAGTGTAGCGATGATGAGCGCGGTGATCGCGGGACCACCAGCGGATGGAACCTTCGACGGCACCGGCACCAACAAAGGCTAGGTAAATCTTGAGGGGAGTGGAGGCTTTGTAGGATGAGTGAGCCCAGAGGCGATGGTAGCCTAGAGTTGGTCAGTTGTTATATTCTTCCCGTATGTTGCGATGACTTTGCCGAGTGGTATTGACTTACCGGCAGTGATACCCAGACCAGTGTTGAAGTAGTAGATGACAGCAAAAATGGCAGTATAGAGTTTGAGAGGTACCCAGTAGGCGGAGATGAAGCCAATCATGGGAATGATGATGATGAGGGTAGTGTTGAGCCAGTTGACGTGCTTGTGCCAGTTGGACCAGGTCATGGGAGTGTCGGCAATATGCACCTTGGAGGAATCATAGGCGGAACCGGAGCGCAGGGGCTTGTAGTCGGTGGTGCCATCAGGAATGGCGGCACCAGCGGCCTTTTCTGCGGGAGCAGAGGACGACATGGTGAAGTCGTGTGTATGATGGTGTCGAAGGAAGTCTTGAGAACAACCAGGACGGTAATGGGAGGAAAAAAGGTTGGAGGATGAAGGAAGCAAATGTGGGAGGAAGTGGAGGGAGGTGGAAGATAAAGAAGGGCACGACGGAGCTAATCAGAATGGAGGGACAGTCAATGTGGCGAGATGGCGGCGGATGCTGGGCCGAGCTATCACGCGATTGACTTGGGACTTGTTCTTGTCAATCAAACTTCAGGCAAATGCTTTTACCGGCCGAAGAGCAAGACGTGGAGGCTGGTTGTGGAGGGAGCTTTTGCTGGGCGGCGGGGCCGACTTTCTTAGCAAGTCGCAAGGGTGTTGTTGCAGTTGTTGTGCTTGTTGGGGAGTGTAGCGGATCCAGTCTAATCAAGGGGACGTGATTGTTTTGGGCCAGTTGGGAGGCGGGAAGATGATGATTTGTTGCCAATTATCTTACAATGGTGATGACGCGCACAAGTTAATCGTCCTGAATGCAATGCGGTGATGATATCTCGTGGTGGTGTCGCCTGGCAACTGGCACGTTTTATACTGGCAGCTGGCAACAACTTGTTGAGGGCGTGTAAGTCAGGTACAAGATACCTGGCCAGGCACAGGCGTTTGCAGCACCAACAGATCTGCAGCTGCTGATATAAAGTCGGCCGCATGCCCGCCACGCGGCGCGTCACATGTGCCGAGCCAGACAAGAAAAATAAAAATCATGGGACTCGACCGTGCAATGGCAAGCTACCAGTGACGTGCAAACGATGAGACAATCATTGCCTACTGCAAATAGCCGGTCGACGTCGTTGTGGTGGCGGGACCATCAAGATCTGACGAGCCGAGGTGCTTTTTTGGGCGTGCCTGGTTGGAACTAGTGTGGAAAAAAAGAATTCTGCAGGGGACGAGCGGTACTTGTGCCAGTCATATAAATTTGCCTCGCAAGCCGCGTACCTGTCTCCACCACGGGACAGCGGAACCCAACGCGTTTGGATGCTTTCCCCAACAATTTTTTTCTTACCGTGCCCAGCCAGCAGCGACCAGACCTGGTCAGCAGGTGTCAGCCAATCAGGTGCTTCTCCAACCACTTGCAGGCTTCCTCGTCTTCCCGGCTTCATCCAGTTTTCCACCTTGAGCCATCCAATGACTTTCATCAACTCATTCCGGTCTTCTCCACACGGTTACATTCTCTGATGCACGGGGGTAGTGATGCCATGCTTGTACTGTTGTCTCCTCTCTTCAATCCAGCAGTTTCCATTGGTACAAGTGGCGATCCCGGCGTCACGGAACAACATTGATCAGTCGGAACATGGGCACTTGTGCAAGTATCTCATCAACCTGTTGCCTGTCAACTTGCCTCAAAAGACAGCACTCTCTGCCAAACTCCAGTGAGCGAAGCCGGCGAGCACATTGGCAAGCACACTGGCGAAGACAAGCACAGTACGGATAATTACTCCGTAGAAACGGTACCAAGAAGGAGCATGCACCTGTTCTGATGCAGACTTGTGCCTGCAGGTCTTGCCGCGCTAGACCCTGACTGGCGAACCACAGTGCGGTCATAAATAGCAGCCCCAACCTATACACGCCACGGTACGTACCTGACGCCTCCCGGGTATCAATCAGGAATGAATCAGTGCTTGAATGTCATCTCTCCCCGCAAACCGCTAGAGTAGACAAGTAGAGTAGATGCTATGGCTTGTATTTACCTCGGTCTCACATTCGCCAGAATGTAAATCTTGTGTTGCGTCATGTTTACACACCACTTTTCCGAACCATGATATGCTTCATCGGGAATCATCTTGCCACCCCACCAATAAGGTAACTGCATCTGCAACGGGTTGAGACAGAACACTGGCGGATGTGCGTTCGACACAGCATACGCCTCTCCCGTCTCGAAATGGATCGGTGACAGCTTGGCACATTAGGGCCAGACTTATCCGATGCCACAATTATTTGTAATTCGTCTTCGATATTTGCCTGCCACCATCCTTCATCAGCACGCCGAAGAAAATGACTGCGGGGTATTCAATGACCAAATCGAGCACGACACTGGACGCTGAGCGACCCCGCGGATATCGGCATGGGCACATACGCGCCATTCTCCCGCCATTCTCTTTTGCAGTCAATCTAGTACGACGAGTGTTGTACGACCTGGAGGCAGCTTGCAATGTACATATTTCTATCTTAAAGGCGTCTACGACGCGTATTGTTCCGCCTACTACTAGGTTCGACTCGTCTTGGCCAAGTTTCCCCATGCACGCTCGCTGTCGTGTTACTGCTGAAAGCAGTAAGAAAACTCTGTGCCATCTTTGACTATAATTCGAGTAGTGCTCGGATTCTCGCCGACCGGGCCATCGCGAAGCGGCTCAATCCGTCCCACGATCTGCCGCATGCCTTCAGCCCCAGATGGCTTACATGGGCCGTACATAAATTTTACCAACGATGACTTGCTCACCATAGTACTTGCCACCCCTTATCCAAAAACTCTAACCGTACGAGGCTTGATTCTGCTTTGAATGAAGCCTTACTATAGCCTGTCATCGTCGTCGGCGCGGCGCCATGGAACAGTCTCGACTTGGACGGCATGCATGCCGCTGAGCCCATTGCCCGGCTGACAGTAGTATATAAATCCATCACCTCGATTCCTGCCTTGCCCACGAAGCTTCATGTCAGAAACCATAACCTTTGAAATTTGATAGAGTGTTCGAAATAAGAGCGCTGATCTCAGAACACCATGCTGAAACATATCCTCCTCGTCTCGACCATCCTTGGCGCTACCCTCGCCACTCCCGTCGCCGAGCCCGAGTCGGCCACCGATCTCGAGAAGCGCTGCACCCCCGCGGGCCAATTTTGCAACCGGGGCGTGCCGTGCTGTAGCGGGGCCTATTGCGGCACCAACGGGCTCTGCTCGCGGTGCATCCCGCCGGGCCAGTTCTGCACCGGCGGTGTGCCGTGCTGTAGCGGAGCCTACTGCGGCACCAACGGGCTCTGCTCGTCGTGTATCCCACCGGGCCAGTTCTGCACCGGCGGCGTGCCGTGCTGCAGCGGAGCCTACTGCGGAAACAACGGACTCTGCTCGCGGTGCATCCCGCGCGGCCAATTCTGTAACCGGGGCGTGCCGTGCTGTGCCGGTTCGTGGTGCGGCACCAACGGGTTGTGCAGTTGAAGGCAACGCCTCTCGTCAGATCGTGTCGGTGGCATCATCAGCTGACCCCTCAGGACATTATTTAAGGAAAGGGGCGTTTTGAGCTTGTCAAATTGGTATCAAATGTCAATAGCTATGCTTCAGAGTTTCTATTATGAAATGGATGCCCCCTCTGTAATACAGTTTTGTGAGAGTAGGCCGCAGCACAGGCATCGTAATGCAGAGTGCTTGCTTAGGGATGACACTGCAGCGGCGCAAAGCCCCGCGTCCAGCGCAGACCGCCCATGATGGCAATCATCAGCGCCGTAGACAGCACCACGCTGACAACGCCGTAGACGTACGCGCTCCTCCTCCGCAGACTGCACAGCTCTGACACCCACGTCGAGACTGTCGTCAAGCACCCGCAGAAGCCGTCCTCGACGCCCTGCAGCAGCTGGCACCCGAGCACGCCGCGCCCCGCGCCCGCCGAGTGCGCAATATCCCACGCCATGCCGAGGATCGCCGTCCCGAGCACATTCGCCGCAAATGTACCAAGCGGAAACGAGGGCCGCTTCGCGTTGAGCAGCATGGAGAGGTAGAAGCGCGCGAGAGTGCCGAGAGGTGCAAAGACAATCGCAAAGACGGCCGTGCCGCGCCAGTAATTACGAGGCGGGAAGATGGCGAGCAAGATGGCGCCGAGCCAGCAGCCCCAGCCGAGCAGCACGGCGAGCTTGTCGAGCACGCCGCGCGCGAAGCGAAACGGAATAGACGGCGTGTACGGCTCGAGCGCCGCGCCGAGGTGCATGCCGGCGATGTAGGCTCCGAGCGACAGCCCGACCGTCTCGATGATGACGGCGAGCAGGGCCATGAAGGAGTAACCGCCGTTGCGATGAGCCGGCGCCGCGCCGTGCAGGTCCGGGCTGACCATGTCGTTGGACAGCGCGAGGAAAACGTCGCGGATAAACGTGGAAAAGCTGGTGAAGCTGCCGCAAAAGCCCGTGGTGAGACCAATGTACAGCGGAATCGTCTTTTTCGTTGCCAGATGCGCCTTTTTCGCCGCAGCGAGGCCAATGCTGCTGCTGCTGATGTTGCTGCTGCTGCTGCGTGCGCGTCCCGCGTTTTCCTCGTCGGCAGCCGCCTTGGCGCGGCGCGCACGCTGGAGCGCCTGGTCGTAGGCTGGCGTCCCCCACTCGTGGCGGAACAGCTTGCGGTCCTCGACCAGGAAGCCCATGATGAAGCTGCCACCGACGTTGGCCCACAGCGTGGGAAATATGCTGGGCGCGCCGGGGTACGTCGTCAGGTGCGAGAGGCCGACGCGCGCGAGGGTGCCGAGGAAGGAGAAGAAGACGAGGTAGGAGAGCGTGTAGAGCTGCGTGGCCAGGCGCGAGACCTGATAGGCTTGTTGGGCCTTTTCTTCGGGCGGGGTTTGCTGCTGTTGCTGCTGTGCTTCGCCGCGTCGAATGTCGTCGAGCGTGTCGCCGGTCGCGGCCACCTCGTCGAGGTTCTCATACTGGTCGGGGACGTCGTAGGGCACGTCGGCGGCATCCGTCTTTGCCGTGACTAGGCCGCCCGAGCCAACAGCCGCATCAGAGGCCATGGGCTAGGTTAATTGTCGCGGCGGGCGGCTCGTTCTGGCGATGAGATGCTTGTTGTTTGTGACGAGGTTTGGGGCTCAATATTTGGACGGAGATGGCGGGAATATTGTGCTTGGCGTCCGGTGGAGACCATCTCGGCAAGGTCGGTTTCCCGATGTGGAAGACAGTCCATTTCGCTCTCAATTTTTGTGAGCTCGGCAGATCTCATCTATCCATTTTCTGAATTTTTGTAGACTTTATCCCTTTCGTTTCGTGAGTTGCGTGGGATATATCAGGGTGCAAAGCCGGCGAATTCCGTCGCCACGCTGGTGCAACCGCTCCCTCCGTCCACCGAGCTCCAGAGACCACTAGCTCGTAATACGATAGCAACTAGAAGCTAGCATCGAATTGACTCGTAGTCTTAGTAGTGGTGAGATCTGCGCCTTGTCAGCAACTTGAGGTGGGTATTACCTCCAATAGCCGCCCCATGGTAAATGCACGCTCGCAGGTTTCCGTCAGCAAGGTGAATACTTTCAAAGACAATTGATGCGATAGAAATATTGGCTGAGGCAGTTATCTATAGTTCTGAATGGGCTGTAAAGGCCCGTCGAACTGCGGCACGGTGAGCCGTACTGAGCAGCCATTGCGCCATTCATTCTGTACAAACCGTTGGTCAGACAAGTCATCTGCTTGTTGCAACCTTGTGTAATCACTGGCTCTAACTTTGACAACCGACTAATCAGTCAAGGGTCCGTGCTTACAGTGTTGCATCGGCTTACGCTCCGCTAATGGCTCGCATAAAGTTTCTCCATGCTTAGAACGGCAATTCATTCGTGTTAGTGCTATTGAAGACAATTGGCCTAGAAGAGGGAAGTATAAAGCCATCATTCAGACGACCTATTGCCCGTAGATTGATTCCATAAAAGCCTGTAGTTATACTCGACAAAAGCCTGTCTTTCAAACTGGGCAGAAGCTTATTCTTGTGAAAGAGAAATAAATTGCTAGTTGCCCAAGATGATGCTGGCCAGCATTACCAAATACTTTAAAGACCGATTTGGTCGCAGGAGACGCTCGAAACAGTCGATTGACGGCGCTGGGTTCGAGGCCGAAGACCGCAAATACCCTTTCACAATCTCGTCATGGGACGACTACCACAGCTACCGTCCCATGCTACCGCCGTCCATGTTTGCGGCGTGGATCAAATACCATGAAGAACATGGCGGCAAGCTCGACGCCGCTCATGACATTGGAGCCGGTAAGTTCATTCGCTGCAGTACACCAACCCAGAGCAAGTCGTGAACTGATTGCCCGTCAGGCTCCGGAACCGGCGCCGCGTTTCTCTCACAAGTCTTTGCCCACACCTACGTATCCGACCCCGGCGAGGCCAACATTGCCATTGCGCGCACGCGGCTCCAGCCCGCGGACAACTTCACCTTTAACCAGGCGCCCGCCGAGGTACAGTGGCCCGGCCCGTCCACGGTCGACATGGCCGTCGTCTGCAACGCGCTGCACTGGACCGACGTACCTGTCGTCATGGCCAACATGGCCGCGACGCTGCGACCCGGGGGCTCGTTTGCGTGCTGCATGCAGGCATTCCGCGTCAACTTCCCGCAGAGCTCAAAGCTTGACGCGCTGTGGCTCGAAGCGACGGAGACGGTCATGAGCAAGCTGCACGGCGAGGGCGCGCTGAGCGACGCCATTCTCGCGGGCATCCGCAACTGCTACAGCGGGTACGAGGGCATCGCGGTGCCGGAGGAGCACTTTACGGATGTGCGCCGGTGGCATGTCAATGTGCGGGCGGGCGATGCGACGCCGTACCGATTTACAAAGGTTGGCGAGTTTGGAGAGAATCCGCGTCAGGTCAAGGATGGGGAGAGGGAGGAGAATATCGAGGATCCTGGCTGGCAGAGGCAGGTGGATGTCAACTGGCTTCGTGGCTTTTTGCGAACGACGACTCTGCCGCTGGGCGACGATATTTGGAAATTACCGCCGTGGAAGGAGCTTGAGAGAGTGGTTAATGAGGAGTTTGGTGGCCAGGTCACGGCCGAGTGGCCAGTGTATATGCTTCTTGCAACGCGGAAATAATGTGACTGCGGGTATGTTCTTCCTGGACTTGAATATGATATGAAATATGAGTTGTACCATTATTCTTGTCCAAATCTACATTCGCGCAAATACACCCCCATCTGTGTAATAAGTGAGACTTGTTTCGTCCGGCATGGTGAATTTGTCAGGAAACTCTGGTGCCAAAAATATTGGTAGAATGATACATGTCAACTCAAGGGAAGAACAGGCAGCCTCGCAAGTATTCCATCATTTTACATCTTATTCTCGAGGCCATTGTGTAGCCTCTCAGGGCGGCCTATTTGTATCGCCACCCAACGTTGCCAACTTTCCTGTTGTTATGTCCCGCACCGGCGTCGAAACAGGCTTGTGTGCACCGTTCATAGTCGACTTCACTTTCGCAGGCGAAAGGGTCTCGGTTAATAAGAATTCGGCAGCGACGCGAGTTTGCCTCGAAACGCCTACCAAACTAGCTACAGAGGACAAACATCCAGTCAGCGAGGTAGCGTGAACTAAAGGATTCTTTTGAAGAAACAATTCAAATGCCACCATCTGGTAATATCTTCATTATTTCTCCTATGCTTCTTTTTTTTTTTTTTTTTTTTTTTTCAACAAACCATCTCGCTAGAGTCGCTACCTAGAAACGCAGCATTGCCAGAATAAGGGCTTTAGAAAATAAAGGGGGAAAAGACAATGTGCGAAACGGAAAGAGAGAGTAACATACGGAAGATCAAGAAAATTATCCGTAATAACTAGTTAACTACTTGAGCGGTCTTCATCACCAATGACTGCTGCCTGTGGCTAATTAAAGCTAGTTCACTGTTAGTCGATGCGCCGACCCACCGTGAACACTTCTGCCTTGGGCAACGTCACACAGCAACGCACTCTACTTAAGCCAGCTCCCATCGACCAAATGCGGCACGTATCTGCTTTTCACAATGAATGGAGTGGATTCTTTGAACAATCTGTAGTCTGCAGTCATGAGCCAATCGCGGACCAAATCACCGAACGGCGATGCTGAACATGAGGAGGAAATCCAATATGGCTCTGAAGAGGTCCGACGTGAGCTGGACGAAAAGTACGCTCGGCCGCCCGCGCATCAAAGTCTCATCCTAACAACACATCCAGATACCCAAACAGACCACACAATTTCGCCAAGACGCTTCTATTTTCTAATCTTTACAGAGACCTCTTCAACCCGCTCAATGAAAACAAGCGGCAGCCTACTGGCGGCGTCGCCCGCAACAAGGGCCCTCACGGCCAGACGCATCTCTCGCCGCAGGAGCAGCGTCGCCACATCATCGACCGCTTCATCACGCGCTGGCGCAAGGAGGTCGGTCCCGATTTTTATCCTGCGCTGCGCCTCATTCTGCCTGACAAGGACCGCGACCGCGGTGTCTACGGCTTGAAGGAGAATGCCATAGGAAAGCTTCTCGTCAAGCTGATGAAGGTTGACAAAAACTCCGAAGACGGCTACAACCTGCTTCACTGGAAGCTGCCGGGTCAGACGACTGCATCGCGGCTCGCTGGCGACTTCGCCGGGCGCTGCTACGAGGCCATTTCCAAGCGCCCGATGCGCACCGAGCCCGGCACCATGACGATTGCCGAGGTCAATGAGCAGCTGGACAAGTTGGCGGCATCGGCCGGGGAGAGCGAGAACCTGCGCGTGTTTGAGACGTTTTACAACCGCATGAATGCCGAGGAGATGCTGTGGCTGATCCGCATCGTCTTGCGGCAGATGAAGGTGGGCGCAACGGAAAAGACGCTGCTGTACCTGTGGCATCCGGATGGCGAGACGCTCTTTAGCGTATCGTCGAGTTTACGTCGGGTATGCTGGGAACTGTGGGATCCGGCAGTGCGGCTCGAGTCAGAAGGTGCGGGCATCACGCTCATGCAGTGCTTCCAACCGCAGCTGGCGCAATTCCAGTTGCCGGCGTCGTTTCAGAAGATGACTGAATTGCTGCGACCGACGGATGACGATGCCGAGTTTTGGATCGAAGAGAAGCTCGACGGCGAGCGCATGCAGATGCACATGATGGAGGACCCAAACACGCCAGGAGGCAAGCGCTTCTGCTTCTGGTCACGCAAGGCCAAAGAGTACACCTATCTCTACGGCCACGGCTTCCAAGACGACAACTCGAGTTTGACACGCCATCTAAAAAACGCATTCGCGTCGGGCGTGCGAAACATCATTCTTGACGGCGAGATGATTACCTGGGACATGGGTGTCGACAAAATGGTTCCCTTTGGCACCCTCAAGACGGCCGCGCTCGCTGAGCAGCAGAATCGCTCCGGCTCGGACTCGTCCGGCCACCGCCCCCTGTTTCGCGTCTTTGACATTCTCTACCTCAACGACAAGCAGCTGACGCCGTACACACTGCGTGACCGCCACACGGCACTAGAAAAGGCCGTCAAGCCCGTACATCGCCGTCTCGAGATCCATAGCTACACGAGCGCCACCTCTCCTGACGCCATTGAACCGCTGCTGCGCGACGTCGTGGCCAACGCCTCCGAGGGTCTGGTGCTCAAGAACCCGCGCTCCATGTACCGCCTCAACAGCCGCAATGACGACTGGCTCAAGGTCAAGCCCGAGTACATGTCGGAATTCGGCGAGTCGCTCGACTGCGTCGTCATCGGCGGCTACTACGGCTCCGGCAAGCGCGGCGGCATGCTCTCGAGCTACCTGTGCGGCCTGCGCGCGTCGCCCAACCACATCAAGGCTGGCGCGGACCCGGAAAAATGCTTCAGCTTTTTCAAGGTCGGCGGTGGCTTCCGCGTCGAAGACTATGCCGAGATTCGGCACCGCACCGAGGGCAAATGGATCGACTGGGACGTTCGCAACCCGCCGTCGACGTACATTGAGCTCGGAGGAGGCGAGGCCAAGCAGTACGAGCGACCGGATGTCTGGATCCGGCCAAAAGACTCCGTCGTCGTGTCGGTCAAGGCGGCGAGCGTCGGCCCCTCGGACTCGTTTGCGCGCGGGTACACGCTGCGGTTTCCGCGTTTCCGACGCCTGCGACTGGACCGCGCGTGGGACAGCGCACTGTCTGTGGATGAATTTCAGAGCCTAAAACAGCACGTTGACGAAGAGTCAAAGGACAAGGCTATGACGATGGAGGACAGGAAGCGTCGCAACCCGAAGCGCCGGAAGAGAGAAATTGTGATTGTGGGTGGCGATGTGACGGGCCCTTCACCGCAAAGAACCCCCGAAGAGACGGCGCTGTTCCGGGGCATCGAGTTTTGCGTCCTCTCAGAGTCTCTGAAACCGTTCAAACACTCCAAAGCACAGCTGGAGACGCTCATCAAGGAGAATGGCGGCACCGTCTCGCAGCGCGCCGCGCCAGGCACAGCCATGGTGCTCATCGCCGACAAAAAGGTTGTCAAGGTTGCCAGCCTCATCAAACAAGGCGACGTCAACATAATCCGGCCGCGGTGGATCCAGGACTGCCTAACCCAGCGCCAAGCCGACGCCGACGCCGGCATCGCCGACGCCTTCTTGCTGCCGTATGAGGAAGCGCACCTGTTCCACGCGACCGACGCGCTGCGGCACGCGGCGGCGCAAAACACGGACCAGTACGGCGACAGTTACGCGCGGGATCTGCCGCTTGAGGAGCTGCGCGCGCTGATGCGTGACATGCCCAAGATTGAGAGCGTAGACGAGGCGCCGTTTGATAAGCGCCAATTCCTGGAGCAGCTCGAGGAGAGAGGACGGGATTTATCGGCACAGTTGCGCAGCATGACATTTCAGCGGTGCGTGGTTGGCTTTCAGGTCGGGGGTGAGGGTGTGGGTAAAGAGGCGGATAAGGACAGGCTGGCGAGATATGTACGGTATGGAGGCGGAAAGTGCGTGGATGGTCTGGAGAGCGAAGAGCTCACGCATGTTGTGCTGGTTGGATATAGTCAAGATGCGGCAGATGCTCTGCGACGGGAGCTGAGCTCGAGAGCGAAACTACCACGCCTAGTAAGCGCGAGTTGGATCGAGACATGCTGGCAGGAAAGGTCGCTCGTTGACGAGGAGCAGTACAGTGTCTGAGCGCGCATAGTGCAAAGTCGTGATATATTAATAATGCTACCCCCTCAAAGTCATGTGTCCTATTTACCAAGCGTGAGGAACAACCTGTCGCCCACGTCACCTAGGCCCGGCTTCACCATGCCCTCGGGTGTGAGCCCCTCGTCCACGGCCGCCATCCACAGCTCGGTGCCCTCGGGCCACTCCCTTGCCACCTGCGCGACACCGGCCGCGGCGCCCAGCACGCTGAGCACCAAGACACGCTTGGCGCCCCATTCACGGAGGGTCTGGATCGCGGCGGCGCAGGTGCCGCCCGTTGCGATGATGGGGTCGACGAGGATGGCGAGCGACGCGGCGCCGGACCCGGCGCTGCTGAGATTGTTGTAGTACTCGACGGGGTCGAGGGTCGAGGGCTCACGGTACATGCCGAGGTGGTGCACGGGGACGAGACGCGGGAGCACGGTCTGAACGGCTGTACAGAGGAGAAGACGGAGGAGATTAGCTGTGAGGAAGAGGAGGAGGAGGGTAGAGATGGGGACGAACCGTCAACCATGGCGAGGCCGGAGCGCAGAATCGGAACGATGCACATTGTGCTCGGAGAGACGTCTGCGGTTTCGTAGTCGGCGCCAATGGGCGTTTGGTCCTTTGATCAAGCTTTGGTCAGCTTTTTTTTTTCAGAGAAAAATCACCCGGCTGCTGGCGTAATAAGTTTTACCTTGGGTCCCGGCACGGGCGCCAGCGACTCGGCGAGCGCCTCGCAGGCGACAATGAGGGAAATCTCATGAACAAGCGCGTTTGTCTCGCGCGCACTGGCCGATTTGGATCGCAGCTGGCTCATCTTGGCCTGCACGCTGGGATGCTGCGAGACGTGGACGTTGGGCGGCAGATTCGTGGCCATGACGGGCAAAACTTCTTGGGAGAGGGGGAGGGTAATTTCTGATTCTTGAACTAGTTTTTCTTTCTATATATTTGTATTGGCACTCTCTATAGCAACTTTGCGACGAGGGCGGACGCAGGGATTCTGTCGATTTGCAGGGAATGGGAAAAACGAAAGAGGGGGGAAAGAGGAGAGCTGTGTGTGTGCGTAAGAGAGAGAGAGAGAGAGAGATAAGGTCGTTAGGTCGGACCGTTGGGGTAGACACCTGAAGGTGGGGGTGTGCTGTCAGAGATGCGGAGGGGTGGCGGAGGGCGGGGCCGAAGGAGCGGGGGCGTTGGCGATCGGCGGGTTGGCAAATCGGATTGGGCGGCGGATGCCGATTTGAAACCGATGAGATGCGATTGGATGGTTGCTTGGTTTTCTTTGGGAAGCAGGTGGCCAGGAGTCAAGATCCGACGCGGGCGGCCGTTGCACTGCGCAGGTTGGTCTTGGGGTTGCGTTGATCGAGGCCTTGACGGCAACCTTGGACATGTCAAATCTTGCCAATGGCCGTGAAAGTTCTCTGAAGAATGACGCTGATTTCAATCTTACATCCACAGGAGGAGCAGACTAATTTTTGACAACTGATGGCGAACGGTCAGAACTAATCGCGGCTCTTTAAGAATCTAGACCAAACTCATGAACGCATGCAAGCTCAACCATGTCAACTGCAGAGTCGAGTAAAAAGGAAAATAGTCAAGATATGCAAGAGGTATATATAAAACGACAACATGGCATGTGCAAAGAGAAGCAGCATCTTCTTCGACTAGCACAATGTGCAGCGTGGCACAATGTAATCAATGTGATGTACAGGTACATACTTGCGAAAGGAGTAACAATGCTAATCTAATCACCTCGAGACGCCTCGGCGGCGTCGCTTCTTTCGAATCGACGTAATCTTCTTGCGCTGCACCACACTGACCCCCCAATTGTAAATCATGTCACGCATGAGAATGACAATGGTAGCAACCACTGTCGGCACAGCGCACGCCCAGCTGTACAAAATATATTAAAAAAAATTTCAGTCTGAACAGTCGCCATTGATAGTCAACTTACAAGTACCAGATTCCCTTCTTCACCTCGGGAAAATCTTCAAAGTTCTGACCAAAAAAGCCAGTAATAAACGTCAGCGGCAGAAAGATGATTGTGACGGTGGTCAGCTGCTTCATCGACTCGTTCTGGTTGGCAGTGATTGTATTAAAGATGAGGTTGATCAAATTCTCCGACGACTGCTTCAGCTGCTGCAAAGACTCGGTGATGATTATGCAGTGATCGAGCACGTCGCCGAGGTACGTGTGCGTCATGGGCGTCACGAGCACGCCGCTCGCGGGGTTGGTGAGTTCACGCGTGGCCTGCTCCTGGGTCATGAATGTGCGATGGTCGCGGAGCATGTTGACGAGGTTGTCAATCGGCAGCAGGAAGCGCAGCATCTTGTTGATCTCGCTGATGCAAATGTAGAGGCGCTTGCTTTGCTTGATGCTCGGCGCCGAGATTACGTCGAGCTCGAGGTCGCCGAGGATATCCGTGTACGCGGCCGTGAGCGGGATCGCCAGGTCAATGATGGCGTCCATGATGCCCTGCACTAGCAGGGAGGCGTCGCACGAGTCGCGCAGGCTCGTGCCGGGCGTGCTCAGGCGCTTGACAATGGGCCGCTCGACGTCGCCGGCCGAGGCCTCGAAGAAGGAGATGACGGTGTTGTCGGCAGTCAGAAATATAGAGACTTGCTCGGCAGAGATGGCCATGTTATACGGGGCCAGCGACGAGTGCTCTTCCATGAACCGAGTGCGAGCTTCATTACCGCTGGCTTGATAGCGTTGCAGGGTGCGCGGCATGCTCGTCTCTTGTAGGTCGACAAAGGGCGGCGCGGCGTCCTCGCCGTGCCTCTTTTCAGGGTCAGTGCCGGGGCGTTGACTGGGGTCGCCGCTGAAGAATTGCCGCAAAACGGCCATGGCCTTGCGGGAAGAGGAGCTGCTGGCAGAACTGATGCTGTTGGTGTCGGAGTCGACAACGTGCACAAGCTTCTGCAGCGTCATGATGATGAATGCGTGATGGGGATACCTATAGCTGTCAGAACGTGATCAACTGAGTGATGATATAGAATAGAGAAAGACGCACCAATCAACCTTGGTTCGGTTGCGTAGATTCATAATGTCTTCAATGGCGAGCTTGTGTAGGGCCTTCGTCGAGCCGACAGCCTGAATGACATCCCAGCTGAGGCCGTTGACGTTGATCCAGCGGCACTTAGCCCAGTCCTCCTTGGGCTGCTTCAGAAAATCGATGAAGCCATCGTTGTCGAAATGCCGCTGCTCCATACGCTCCAGAGAGAAATCGACGACGGTAATTTCGCACGGCGCGCTCAACTGCGGCACTGAGGCGTGTCCGCCATCAGGCAGCTTGGGATCGTAGCCTGGCTCGGCGCCGGGATGCCAGCCCACGCCGGCGCCGGTAAAGGGCATCTCAAACTCGTCGTCCGCGCCATCAAAGGTGCGAAACGCGGGTACCCTGCTGCTGCGGCGTCGTCGAAGCCCTGCCGCCACAAAGCCCCCGGCAGCAGGCGAGCTTTGCTGGGCTGCATCGTGCGATGTGAGCGGGGGCACGTCCGTGTCGGAACGCGAGTGGACGGGAATCGCGGGCGGGAAGAGTCGCGATACGGCGGCGGAAGACTCGCTTGCCAGATCGTAGCTCACATGAGGGGGCTGAGGCGAATCAGGACTGGGGCGAGGGGCCGTTGTAGACGCGACAAGATCCGTAGGATGAGAGTGCGGGCTGGTGCTGGCGCTGCGTGGGCGCGGGTCGCGGGATTGCATCAGCGCGCCCAGAGTTTGTTTGGTAATGCGAAGACGCCGAGGTAGGGGTCGGCATGAAGGATAGTGTGTCTCTGCAGCGGTGGTGGAGTTACGAGGGCCGGTTGGGATCAAGAGTTGGGCTGATGGGAGTCAGATACGGAGGTGTCGTATTTTGGCCATCTACGGCTGGTTTAACAGGCTACGCGCTGTTGGGATCAGCGGCGGCAGTGCCCCTGTAGTAGCGAAATGTGGCATCATGGTCAACAAACGCTGCGGCAATTGCTTCAAAAGAAGATAAATATCTTTCGGCAATTGATAGTCGTAGTATAGAGAGAAAAGATATAGAATTGAGATATTTTCGGCCAAGCAAACAGGAATTTTGAGTTATAATAATGCTAGATGCTAGTGTACAACAAGCATCCACTGAATTATTGCAATGATTAGGTAAATAAAATAGGTGTTGACCTCGATGTGTGGGACTTGCATTGGCCAGGCTGTATCAGGCCAAAATAAACCACTGGGCAAAAAAACTAGACGGGGATTATTTTTCTATCTTCTTGTTTCCGCTGTGTTTCTCTTCTTTTTTTCCCTTCTAACCTCAGTTTTACAATGTACTTATACGGATATTAGGGAGCAATTTGTCGTGCTTGATGTGCAGTACTCATTGTGCGCCGACTCGACAAGCCAAGTTGCTCAACGGTGCGGGGCTCTCTCCATCAAAAGCCGTTATCGTGTGGGCTTTTAGGAAATAAAACCCGTAAATCATGCTCTATCATTTATGATGAATGCCCCTGTCCTTGCACGACCGATGTGGCGATCCGCAGCCTGCGCGGAAACGTTGCAGGCTGGGGCAGGGGGTTCAGGTGTGGCTGGCATGCGGTGTGTCTGCTGGCCCATCTCGCAGACCAGGGTGCAAGCGCCGATGCCTGCGAAGAGCGAGACGCATGGAGATCGGTCACCCAGTCACATACACATCACATAATATGCCAACACAAAAGGTGAAATGGAATTTCGCAATTCCCATGATTTCGATACATATACGGATTGGATTGCTCTGTAATGCGGGCTGGGATACTACCTTATGGCTGTGGCACAATGAGACGTTTTCACACGGCTACCTAGATTCTGTGGGCGCCAATGGACTACCTACATATTGCATGGTACCAGCTACCGGGACCCTGGATTGCGCTAGTTCGTGTACCTATGGGTACACAGTGTTTTGCGAACTTTTTTCAGTCCTAGTCCAGCGTTGAAGAGCGGACTCGGCTCCAACTCGTTTGCTAATGCCAGCTCTGCATCAGCTTGACTAGGAAGCAAGGCCAGCCTGCAGCAAGGATCCTCGCGAGTGGCAACCATTCGCTTTGGCTGTCTATTCCGATGCAGACGCGCATGCCGGTAGTTGGTGCTTATTTCCCGATGATTCGCCTCTGTTCTGCTTCAGTGTCTGCATGTCCGTTTTTGTCTCTCTGCTTTGTGTGTTTGTACGGATACTCCGCACTGGTACAGCATTACACGCACTGTCTGCCAGCCGCGTATCAAGTTACCACTAGATGTCGTCCAGCTTTCTACCAGGTACCTATGCAAAAGTCTGCCAGCTGTGAGCTAAATGTTTGCCAGCTGTGAGCTAAATGTCCGTCAGCTGTAAGCTCGGTTGTTTGCCAGCCGCCAACCCGTCCTCTAAGGTACCTACCAACGGAAAGTGGTTTAACCGCGCCCCCAATCCGGCCTTGTTCCCTCTTTTTCTGGCTACAGCCCCTCCACGCTATACTTGTGCACCTTTGCTTATTCTGGATCAGCTTCAACTCCCACAACCCGCTCATCGTCATACCACACACATGCACATAAATACAACCCACCACAAGTTCCCGCCCCTCGCACACGATGGCATTGTGATTGTTGGGCCGATCATTGTTACACGCGACAATCCTTACCTCTTCTTGATTCCCTTAAAAATCCCAATTCCCGCGCCAACGTATTCTCAAAACCTCCCATCCTCTCTTTTTACCCCCATCAGCATCCTCCTTCTATTCTCCCACCCCCCGCCCCACCATCGACCAACGCTGCCTGCATCAGACTGAGCTTGTCAGTTGGCCTGCTGCACGTTGCTGCTCCCCCGTCTCTCACCCCATATCTCCTCTCCCCTCTCCGAAATATCTCGGGCTCTTCCCTCCCATCTCCAGGAACCGTCAATCATCCTCCGTTATGAGTTCTAATATTATCCTTGGCGAGACGGGCTATTATCGATCGGCCTGCGTGGAGTGTCAGCGTAGAAAGCAAAAGGCAAGTTCCGATCGCAGTCTAAGCCCTGTCGCTCCTCCCACACCCACGTCCATCTCATCAAATTTTCTTCATCTCCGCACGCCATCTGAGCCCCTTCTGTTGAGTCGGCCGGCACTACCTGTGACTGGATACGTCTATCAGCATGCCGTGTCTCAGATTGACACTTACTTACAAATCAACTTAGTGTAATCGTGAATGGCCCTGTGACAGTTGCCGTCGACGCAAGGTCCCTGACGGCTGTCGCTACAATGAGACCTCTCTCGCCGGAAACTCTGCCGATACCTCTTCGTCGAAGCAGACAGACGTTTTTCCTGACCAACCTTTCAACCACGGTAGTCTCAATGGCAGCGAGGGCCAAGTACTCGAGGTGCTTGCCGAACGTGCCTTCATCAACCTCGGCATCGATGCCACCGTCAAGGTAAGTCGCATACGGGTCATTTTGCCTCTCATGACTGTCATCTTACCTCGCCGATAGGAAGATGCCCCCCCAGAGCAAAAACATGACATGGTAAATATTGGCTCCTCCACGCAATTTGATCGCCTTATCGAGCTGCTTCCCCCGCGGCGTTTGATGGGTAAGTACAACAACTAGCATTGGCCAACATTGATTCTTGCACAATCTAATACTTTCCAGACGAGCTCATCCAGCTCTTCATCAACGACATCAACTTTCACTACTACATCATATACCCGCCCCTATTTCTCCAAGAATACCACATTTGGTGGGATCGTCGGGCCCACAGCAAACCCGTCTCTTTGCAATACACCTGTCTGCTTGCCATGCTTTGCTCATGCACCATTCAGCACGTTGCGGATGATTTGGAAACGGCAGTCACTGCACAGTATGGAGAGCCTATCCATCTCGTCTCCGACAAGGTTCATGCTGCCGTCCGCGAGCTGTCTGGTGTCATTCCAGTCGGCCACTATCACATGATGAATGTCCAGCGCTTGATCCATTCCTGCTATTGGTACAAGGCCGAAGCGAGATTTGTTGAAGCATGGCACGTTCTGAACCAGGCTATACTCGAGGCTAAGGAGCTGGAGCTACACATTGAGCCTAAACCGGACGCTGTGTCCGACTTTGATCGTGAGATGCGTCGACGTCTGTGGTGTATCCTCGATACCTGGGACTGGTGAGTCATGTGCAGCCACCCTAGTACAATTTCTCTGACAATGTTTTAGGCAGATATCTTCCGGTCTCTCGCGCCCCAAGCTCATCGATCGTGGTGGCTGCACCGCCGAGCTGCCAGACCTTACTCTCGAGGGCTACGACCCTTCCCCATTGGAGCACATGAAGATGCAGTCGCAGCTGACCCGTGAACTTGCTTCGCGTTTCGGCGCCCCTAAGAATGTAATTTCGACCCAGGAAGTTCAGGAATACAAAGAGATAATCCTTGCCTGGGTTCGCCGCTACCCCAAAATTTACGACTTTTACGACCCAGACACTTCCCGAGATTCAGTACATTCCTGGATCTTTCCTCACAGATTCTACCTCTACACCATGGCTTGCTTGCTCATCCTGAATCCAATTCGCCATTACATGGTCAAATCATATACCAAAGACTCACCAGCTGATGAGCTCAAGTGCCGCGCAGACGGCCTATTCTTTTCTCTAATTCTCATCAAGACCCAGAGAAAGTGGGTTGATAGAATCAACGGCCGAGATGGACGCCTGCACTTTATCATCTTCTCCATCTTTGACACTGCTGCCATATTGTGCACTGCTCTGGTAAAGGATCATGCCAACACCATTGAGAACAAAGATGACATCCTGCATGCTATTGCAGAGTCCACTGCTATGCTCAAAGCCTTGATCAACATCTCCGAGACGGCCAAGATGTCCCATGACATTTTGTACCGCCTCACAAAGAAACTGAAGAAGTCCAGCATGTCAAAAGAGTCTGCTGATGCTGGCCGAAAACGCGCAAAGCTAGCTCCTGTTCCGCCCTCTCAGTCTGCTCCCATAACAGCCGCTGCAGCCACTAGCTATACAAACCCACGCAACGCAGCACCCAAACCCAAGCAAGTGCCATCATCTGTGAGCCAGGACACTAATGCTTCATCGAACTCTGTTGTTGGCCACGCGTCTGCTCCCCAGACAACTCTGAATAGCTATAACGTTCCTCCGGCAAGATTTGATGCTCAACATGTGCCTCGAGCCACCACAGACGCATATAGTGACCCTCAGGGTGTGGCTCCCTCTATACCTGCGCACGTCAGTGCCTCCGCTGCAGCGCATACAATGATCTATCCCCCGCCTCGCCTTGACGCTTCGCGAGTGGCTCATCAGCACATGCCGCCGCACTTTACTGAGGTACAGAACACTCACGGTTTTACGCAACAGCAAGCACCACATATTCCCTCGGATATAGCCAGCACTAGCTTCTATCAGCCAGTGCAGACCGGTATGCAGTCGTCTGTGGAGCCGAGCAGACACCCGAACCAGTATGACTCTGAACCAAACCACCCAACACAGCCAGCCAGCTACCCGCACGCGCAGCCACCACCGCTCGGTACCGGCATCTTCAACATGAATCTTGCCGACGGTGTGCCTGCTATTGCCAATCTCTGGGATGCCCCCGCTATGCCAATGACTCCCATCATTTCCTACTCCATCATGGGCCATAATGTGCCCGTCAACGTTGTGCCTCAGCCGCGTGAGCTCTTTATTGGCCAGCAGCAGGAACACATTGTACCCGAGCTGAACCTGCCCAATCTGACAGAGGCAGAAATTGGTGGCCTAGCTCCTCTATGGAGTTGGCACTCGAGCAATCTATTCCCCGATGACACGACTGACGGCCCTCCTGTATAGCAAAAAAAGTTTCTTGATCCGGGGATGAACCGCAGCTTTTCGGAATATCTGTCTTGGGCGATTTTGAATACTACTCACAGGTTTAAAACGCATATATGGCGCGTCTGGCCAGATTTTAGAAAACATATCGTGTAGCTATCAATGAATCACTCAATGTCTGCGACCGGCACCTCACTGTGAGCAAACTACGCAATCCAAATACTTGCTAGATTGTTGCTTTTCCTTTGTTTGCATCTACAGACTACAAAAGCAGTGCCGTCTTGTTGCTGCTTCTCGACTACATTTTCTATCGCATCTACAAATTTACAAAAACAGTGTTGTCTTGTTATACCCTGTCTGTACCTGACGGCTTGAAAACAAACAACCAGGTCAGCCAGTTAACTGCTTCTCGGCCACATTTTCCACAACGACCGCCTCGGGCGCATTGGAAGCAGCCTTCCCCATGCCGAGCTGCGTCGTGTCCCAGCCCTGACTCTCTAGGTACGCACGGAAACGGTCATCCTCCTTGGAAATGGTATCTTGACCGACAGTGGGCACCAGCGTCAGGGTAATGATACCCGACAGGACGCACAAACTCGCGGCGACGTAGAACGGGTACTGGGCCGACTCGACGTCGTTGCCGCCGGCTTTGCTGATGAGGGGGAAAACCCAAGTTCCGACAAAGGCGCCAATTTTACCGATGGCAGCAGCGATGCCGTAGTAGCGACCGCGAACGCCCGTGGCGCACGTCTTGGCGGCGAGCAGGCCAATGTTGTTACCGGGACCAATCTCGCCGAGGGAGAGGAAAATGCCGTAGACGACGGCAAAGGCAGCGACGTGTTTGGAGATGTGGGCGTAGACGCCGGCCATGATGAAGGCGACAAGGGACTGTAGGAAGACGCCAAGGGCAAGAGCATGCTTAGGACCGATCCAGTCTGAGACGAAGGCGCCGAAAATAGACCCAGGGAGGTAAAACATGTTGATAACAGTATTCCAGCCAAAGACACGCGAGAGGGGGGCGCCTTCGCCGTAGATGCCGCGAAGGATGGTGGAGGAGTAGATTCCAAACGCGTAAACGGAGAACTATGCGAGGGTTAGGAGATGACGGATGGGGAGAGCCGGGTAGGAGGACTGCTCAATCTACAACACATTTCGAATATTCAACAACGGAAGGTCACTTGCCAGCTCGAACCAATCAGAGCCCGCCGAAGCCAGCCTTATGCCAAGTACCACTTTGTACCTATACAGAGACTATCCCTCAGTAGCCGTGGCTACCTTGCAGCCTCTTCGAGGTGTTTCTTACGAAAATTTCTGTGCTTCTTTGGCGGCTTTTTCGGGGCTCTGGTGGGCACTGCTGATACATAGGCCTTGGCTCTTTGGCAGCTCTGGCGAGCTGCTGGCCAGTATGTTTAGCTGTGTGAAGAATAGTGACTTCGAGCGGTTGAGTGACTTCTGCTGATGAGTGGCATGCTCATCAAGAGCTCATCAGTGCCCATCATTCCATAGCGGGCTTACGCTGCTGTTGAATATTCAAAAATTGTTGTTAATTTCGCAGCCCTCAACGGAGATGACGTACGTTGTAGAGGAACCATATCAGAGAGACGCAAAAGAGACGGAAGCCGTAGAACTTGAGAACGAGAAGATAGGGTGTGTGGCGGCGCATCGAGTTTTTGTTGAAGTCGTCGGGGTCTTCGAGCTTGATGCGCAGATAGAGCAGAATGAGGGGGAAGATGACGCCAACGCCGAGGGCACAGCGCCACATTACCTCGTAATTGTTCGTGCCAGAAGCAATGACAACTTGTAGAGGTTAGTCGGTGCCTCCCGCTGTTGGATGTGACGATGAGACCGAAAGGGTGACTTACAAGGTATAAAGGCGCCCATGACGAAGCCGCCGTTGATCATGGTATTGGTAAAGAGGATAAACCAGCGATGGCGCGTGCCTGCCTTGAGCTCGCCGGTGGATTCAGCTGCGCCGACACTTCCAGCAGGATACTCACCTGTGTATGGTTAGCCTTTTATTACCGCAGGAGATGAGACAAATCCCGAGGAAATACAAACCTCCAATACCGACACCGACAAAGAAACGCCACGCCGTCAGCATACTAAACATTCCTGAAGGGTCGCCCTTCCAGTACGAGCCGGCCGCGAGCGCGGTGAAGATGATGAGGATGACGGTGGAAAGGGTCAGCGAGTTGGCGCGCGACCAATGGTCGGACAGGAAGCCAAATAGAAGCTGGCCGACAACGATGCCTGCAAAAGCAATACTGGCGACGGAGTTATACGCGGGCGACTTGGTGTAGACGGTGTCATACTGGGTCGTGAGGATGGTGTTGACGGAACCAATGACCTTGGAGCGGCTTCAAATTAGTACGAGAGAGGAGAACGGCAGGCAGAGTAGACATACGTTGTTGATGTAGCCGTCGGAAAAGAGACCGGAACCGCAGGCAAAGACGGGCATCATTGTTTCTCTCCAGCTCTTGCGGGGAGCATTGTGCTCGGCGTCCGCGACGTCGGCCGCCGGCGCGGGCTCGTTGCTCTTTTTACCGAATCCAAACATGTTGACGTAAACCCGCAGCAGATGTTCGCTTCTAAAGAAGAGAAGTTCCTGGAGTGCTAGAAAGTCGCCAATGCTTTGTTTGGCCCGTGTTCAAAGTTTCGCAGCCGGAAACGCAGAATCGGGTGCGTGGCGGCGGCTTCTGTCCGCGAGGTATGGGACTCTAGAAGAAGAAGATGTAAACAAGATGGCGGACTAACTATGCAAAAAAAAAAGAGGGAGAAAGAAGAAGTAAAAGGGAAAATAGAGGGAGATGGAGTGTGAGATAGAGAGAGAGAGAGAGAGGAAGCAAGAAACGGTAGAGTGTGTGTGGCTGCCGTGTGATGGGATGGGTTGCCTCGGGCGTCGTCGACCCACACTGCAAACGGGCAAGTAAATAGGTACTGAAAAGAATGACCTAGGTTTACTGACGCACAGAGTATCTACCTACCTTAGTAGGTATGGAGTATGGAGCATGCAGGGAAGAATTGTTGTTGAGCCACGAATGTCCTTACAGTACGGCGTACGCGACCTTGAGCCGGCGCGGCGCTGGATCCGCTCGGTCAAGGAGCAGGCGTTCCCCATCCCATTCCCCATGGGCTTTTCAGAAGTTGCTTTTCGCATCCCTGTAGCAAATGTCTATATTTGCACGTGTCATTTTGACCGTGGCCTTCCCCGGCGAAAAGAGTTTTGCTGGTGAGACCTGATGGTTGGACAAGTAGAGAAGACGGAGTTGTGCGCACAGATCCGTACGTGCATCGTGGAAAAAAGGGCAAGGTGAGGAAAACATCGGACAGCCCTGTGGCCTACAGCCCCCATCTAGTTAGTTACTAGGTAGTTGGGTAGTTGGGCAGTAGACTACTACCCCACCTCCGCCGCCGAATGTCCTAGACGGGACTGGAAAGGCCGCCTATTGACCTGGTCACGGCTTTCGTCTTGTAAATACAACTCGTTCTTCTTGTGACGTCGTCGTCCTTGGTCTGTCTCTTACGGAGCTGCGCGTGCTAAGTAGGCGGCCCGCTTGCCCTTAACCATTTGAGCCCTAACTATCCTCCTGACCTGATGCGCACTGTGTAATGATAATAGTTCCCACATGACCAAACGGCGCTTCAGCGGAGTCTGAGGACAGGGTTACTCTCAGGGCAAGTGGGACGCGACTGACACATGATTAAGGTTGCCAGATTGAGGAAGAGCTAAGTAACTACCTAGTTACAAAGTAGTTTGACTCCCATATAGAAACCGCATCAGCTCTCCCTCAGGATAAACTAAAGCCGAAAAATTCGTGTCAATGTTGTATTGTGCGCCATCAAAGGAAACAGCCACCACCGGCGCCCCCCGAAGACAGCGGCAATTGACTAGGGGGTAATAAGATGGCTGTCATGCCAAGACTGTGGGCGGTTGCGGATCACGCCCCCAGAGAAAATATACGAGACAAGAAAAACCACACAGAAATTATGCAGCCATGACCAAAATGAGGCTTCAGGCGGCCCAATTCAGCATAATGGCCGAAATGCGCAAGTGGGCTTGCCAATGCCGGTAGCCCTGTCTTATGGTTGCGGCGAACCGAATGACTAGTTGGCAGTAGTTGGGGTCCACACTTGGCAGCGCGGTAAAAAAGGGAATTGAGCACGTGCGCTGCTTCCGTCATACAATAGGTAATAGGTATTACTAGGTCGTCCAATATTCATTGTTGGTGTCGCGTGCTGGGCTACTTTAGCGATAGCCGACGCTCTACTTGGCAGGGCATTGCCACATCCCCAGAGTCGCGTAATGGTTGAGACGGACGCACTGGATTCGCAGATCAATAGATGATGCGCGCATCTCCCATATCATTGCGAATTTGGATATCGGAGAAAAAATACGAAGCAAAAAAACACAATTGTCCGCCTACATCTGTCATGCTCTGCTATACATTAAAAAGAATAGCCAACGCCTATCCCCCGAAACAAAACAAAAGACCTCACAGATGCTTACGGCTTTTCCTTTTTGCGCACCAAGCCCGTTGAGAGAACATTGACACTCCCCTCCTCAACCTCGTTTGACTTTGGCTTTTTCTTCACCAGCCCTGCGCCAAGCACATTCGGCGCGCCGCCGTCCGCCGCTCTCTCCGCCGAGTCCGTCGTGCTCCTCTTGCGCTTGACCAAGCCCGACAAATTATTTACAGTCGTTACCGCCGCTGCCGCATCTCCATTCCCTGCTGCCGCCACAGGAGAAAATTCCATTGTGCCCGTCACGTCGTAGCCCCAGACACTGCCCATGCCCACCTCACTGACCCACCGCCGCGTGCTGCCTGCGGCCTTGTCCAGCGTCGCAAAGTCGAGGTGCAGGAGCAGCTCCACGATGCGCTTGTACGCAGGCTCGCTCACGATGCGCTCACCGCGGCCGCTCGTCGGCCACACATAGTGCGGTGTCGCCGTCGAGCACCGCTCCAGCAGGCGGTTCCTTTGCTCCGTCTTGACGCGCGGCGGGCGCGTAACGATTACGCCGCGCAGCTTCCTTTTCTTCTTCTTTCGGTCCATGGCGCGCTTCTCAACGGCGGCGTTTTTGTGTGGCTTGTCAGACGCGCCCGAGACCTTACCCGGCGTGGTGTCGGGGGTGGACACGGCGGCGGCGGCGGCGGGCGGCATGCCATTGTCTTGCGGCACGTCATCAAATACGACCCAGATGAAGCCCGTCAGGCGGCCGCTGGAGCACTCCTGCCGAAACGCCATCATATCCCAAAACACGTCCAGCGACTTGACGCTCTGCCACGCGCCCACCTTGCGCATGCCGCCCGACTGCGCGGCCTCTTCGTCAAGCTCGTCTCGGAATCTCGATTTCGGATCGTCGGGGTAGCGGGGTATCAGACACCGCGGCGGCACCCAGTCAAGCTCCTTCGTATAGTGTGATATCCTCTCTAGCGGGTGTGTGAGCGACCACAAGGGTAGCAGCGCGCGCGGCAGAAACGCTCTCGTCTCGTATTCTTCCAGACCCGGCACCACGAGATATCCCCTCACGCTGCCCCAAGGAGGCAAGCTGCCCCTGGGCGGCGTCTCGAGCAGCGGACTGAGGACGCGACACCACCACTTAACTAGGCCGCGGTCGTCCAGTACGTGCTTTCCGCTGTTGTGGACGCTCCCAGGGAAGAGATACTGCGATTGCGCCCGCGCAAACAGGCTGACAATGAATTGCTTGCCCGTGCGCCGTCGGGTTTCGACCAAATGTGAGATGAACGCGCCACAAACCTCGCGTATAGGGCTCGGTGAGCCCTTGGGCAGCTTAAGCAGGCTCAGGTATCCTGTCGAATCCGCCTTGGAGACGAACAGTGTCGTAGTATGCATCGTCGAGTACAGAAGAATTTCCACGCCGAAAACGAGAACATTCTTTTCTTTTTCACCTCCAGAGACAGCTCCCACATCGTCGGGAATTTTGATCGAAACGGCCAGAAAATGGCTCTCGCAAAACGTCCGGTCGGGTCGCTGGTTGGGCGGCGCTGAGTACAGGGCAGCACACTTGGTAGGCGGCGTAGAGAGGTGAAGGATCCCGAATGGGCGGCCTTTTGGCAAGATGGGTTCCAATCTGGCGCGCAGGCCATTGCCCGTCGATTCGTTGGTCGACATGGTCGTCTTGCTTCGTAATTGGACAAATTATCAAGGGTTGAGGTACAGGTTGAGGCCAAGCCCAGCCGCGAGACAGTGTGGGAAACGCGTTTCAATTAAGCCAGGACGCGACGTCAGAGCAATGTGGCGCACCACTTACAAGTGGCACAATACAGCATGCAAAATACTTCACCAAGAAAAAATGAGCGACATGGAGTCTAAATGAAATATCTTGTCACATATTTACTACGCATATCAATACAGGCTCTCCCCCTTCAATTATTAAAACGAAAAATCTTGAATAGTTCCATGCATGCCGACTTTGCCTGAGCTTGCGCCACAGCAGCCACAAACGCTTTCGCTGGGTCACGTGCAGAAATTTATCCTCAGCAAAGTTGCGAAAGCTTCCATCCATCGAATGGAAAGCTGTAGATCTTGCCGAAGACCACCACACGACACACAATGGCATTGCAACCTTGCCGCATGAGTCTTTTGCGCAGCCGGCAAGGCGCGCGCATGATTCTACCCTGCGCGCGCTCATACACCACGACAACGGCCGCCGAAACCCCCGAGTCGTTCAAGATCTCCGAGTCCCGGGAGTCCAAGACGTCAGCGCCACGATGGAGCCAGACGCCCGCGGGCATGAAGGCGCCATTGCAGATGGATTTTGCCAAGAATCCCAAGAACAAGGTGTGGGCGGTCAATAACGACCCTGCGCGGTTGGATCAAATGTACGAGAGGCTGCTCGGACAGGGGGGCAGCAAGATGCTCCCTGACGAGCTCAAGTGGCTAGCAGTCACGCACAAGAGCTTCGATCAGGGACGGAGAGGCTTCAACGACCGACTGGCAATGGTTGGTATGTGCACATTCAGCAGCATAATGGGCGGCCGCGCCGCAGCGGCTGGCTCGTGGAGGGAGACGAGGCTAACGAGAGATAGGTCGCATGGCCCTCGACGTCGAGGCAGTCAAGGACATTGTGAGCAAGCCCGCGGACCCTCGGGCGCAACAAAAGGACGAATTCGACCGACAGCCGTTTGAGCACCCGAAGCTCGCGCCGGTGGATAACCTGAGCCTTGTTGACGCGCGCGACACTGTCGGCAAGGAGAAGCTGGCTGCGCTGGCCCGATCCGTTGGCCTGGACAGCACTGTGCGGTGGAAACCTCGTTTGGTACGTGCAGCGTGCGAGAATGCAAGTATTTTTCTTTTCAACGACTCGCTAATATTCTACAGGTCAGCGAACTCGAATCAAGTGGTGTGGAAGTCGTGCTGACTGGCGCGGTCATGGCCATTGTTGGCGCCATCACGCTGCAACATGGCACTGCTGTGGCGAACCGGATCATCCGCGAGCGCATCATGGCTAGGATCCCCAAAAAATAAATGGCATTCTCTGAAATGTGCGGCAGAAGAGCGCTGCCTGTACTCATACCCTCTACGTATACCACATACACTGTACTATTTAGACGGCGGGCTTGTATAAAAATAACTTTTATTCATTCAAAAATTATGGCTCAATATGACGCTTGTTATGCAGACAGGTTTCGCGCTGGGATATATTATATGTCAACACACGACAAACGCTCAAGGTATTAAAAGACTGCCAACTACAACCGAGTTCCAACATTCCCAAATTAGTGGTTGTTTCGGGTTCCAACTCCAGGTACATGTCTCGTATCGCTTAGAGCAGAGGGGTCTGCTCAGATGGTTCATCAGCCGTCTCCTCAGTAACAGCAAGGTCAAGTACGGCATCGAGTTCAGTCTGGATGACATTCTCACGGAGCAGCCAGCCACCGAGGACTCCCGCACCGGGACCGAGCAAAGCCGAAAGGCCAACCATGTACGCGGGAACCCTCCAGTTGGTCTCGACGAGCACCCAGTAGAGGACGGTGGCGCCGATAAAGGCAAAGTCAATCACGATAAACGTGACGCACGAACGCGTCATCTCCTTGCGGTCGTCCGGACGGGTCAGGCTCCAGATAATGGCGGAGTGGGCGAGCAGAGACGACAAAAACGGCAGAGCGTACACGGCAAGCAGGCTGCGGCGGTGCGTCTCGAGGTGCACAGTGCGCTCGGCGGTGTAGTCCCAGGTGCGCTGCACGCCCCAGCGGATGCCCTGGCGGAGCAGGGAGACGTAAAGCGGGAAAAGCAGCCAGACGCCAATGGCGACCGGGCTGCGGAAGACGAGCATCAGTATCGACGGCAGGTAGTAACCCAGCGCGACAGCCACAGGAATGGCAACGACCTCGGAGCTAGCCACATTGCGGTCGCGGTCAAGCCGCAGTGCCGCGAGCCGGTCGCCGCCCACCTCGCCCTCCTCGTCGGCCGTCCCTACCTTGTGCGCAAGAAAGACGTTGCGCAGGCGCTGAATCTGCGCGGGCACAATGAGCAGCTGCCAGACGAGGGCGCCGCCGAGCAAGTTGAACAGCAGCCAGGCGGGCGTCGGGTTGGCGACGAGGCGCGCAGGGCGGTTGCAGCCGCGGGCCGACTCGGCAGCGCAGACAGTCAGTAGCGCGCCGGCAAACGCCAGAACGACGGCCATGATGGCACGGCCGCGCGTCGCGTCGAGGGCGGCGCGGAAGAAGCTGACGAGGTAGCAGAGCGGCGTGCCAAGCAGCGGGACACGGCTCAGGGCGGGGATGCGCGCGTGCGCGTGGCACTGCGACCACAGCATCGGCGTGTTGACGTCGGAGTGCGCAAATAGTGCAAAGACGGTGGCGATGGCGAGGAAGATGGGCACAATCATGAGGGTGCGCGTGCGCGCGGTGAGCACGAGAGGAGGGGCCATGACGGCGGTCGGGAGGGGCGATGATGAAGTGTCGTCGGCGGGGAAGAAGAAGAGACGAGGCGGGGTTGATGATATTAAATGCCTCTCGGCGAGAGATGTCGGTTTGGTCGTCGATGTAGCGACAGCATATACCAAGAAAAGAGCAAGATATGGTTGATGTGTGCCGTTGATGTTGTAGAGATGACGGAAGAGGATTTGGGGTTCATTGGGGAGAGAAGGCTAAAGTGGGCTTGATTTTCAGCGGAGCTCCGGATGTACCAAACAATACGTCATGAGACTTATTGCTGCGGTACCCGGTGTCTCAAAGGTCGTACGATTAATTTATGAAAACGGCAGGAAGGAAGAAATCAAGAGAACTATACAGATTTCAAGAAATAGAACATTGTTAATGAATGAATGAGGGCAGAGGGAAAGAATTCCTAGCACTAGGTCTACCTTGGGTATCTATACTCGCTCTGGCTTCAGCGCTAGTTCATATAAATGTGAACACAAGACAACTCATCCAACTAGGTACAAAGTCTTGAAAGTGTACGGCACTAGTATCGACTAGTTCTCGCAGCAAATCTACCCGAGACAGCGCCCCCCCTAACTCCCACCTCTACATGATACAGCTATTTGTCTGAGGGGTTTGCCGTGAATACATCATATTATTAAAGTCGTGAACCTATGTCAAGCAAGAAGAAAGAGTGAACCCTGCTCTAGGCCGGCCGAGCTTAAACTCTCATGGAGAACTCCGTACAACGACCTAGTGCTCGCTGTCCTCCCGTTATTAATAAATGGCATGGCGACACCAGCCACATCACAGCTCGACCCATTCTACGTTGACGTCAACCCTGCCAGACGCTCCGCTGATTGTCTTCTTTGTGTCCGCCTTGGCCGCAAACGCCTCACTCCCATTCGCAATCTCGTCGTTGCTGGAGACTTGGTCCCAGTCCCAGAGACGAGCCTCGATCGTGAGACTGTCATCCAGGGACACCGCCAGCACTGAGCGCCGCAGCGGGACCGGGCTGCCCTCGCTGACCGACACGGTCTTGCCGCTCTCGCAGGCAACGTCAAACAGCACAACCTTGTCCAGCCTGGTGCCCGCCGTGATGGTCCCGTCGTCTGGGTTCTCGTCCCCTTTCGCCAGCACGACAGAGACGTGCGCGGTGACGGCCCGCTGCAGGACCGCGTACCGCACCGACGCGGACCCAGAGTTGCCCGTGATCTGCTGGTAGTGCGTCGTGTCGTACGTGTTGCTTGGGTCCTCGGGGTTCCACTGCACGCTGCCGCGGGCCACCTGGTCGTCAAACGACGGGTCCGGCCACGAGTCGTGGTCCCAGAGATCTAGGTCGATGGAAAAGGCCCCGGAACCTGAGATGGGCCGCGAAGGGCCCGTTAGCGGCACGTCCTGGCCCGGCTTGATCTTGAAGGACGGGTCCTGCTTCCAGAGGGTGTCGGTGCCGAGCGCGTCGGTGGCGGTGATGCTGCCGTATAGGTCGCCAGGGTCCTCGTTGTCAATATTGTCAATACGCACAAAGTATACTTCCAGCAGAGTGCGACCCTGTGGCGTCGCTCCGCATTGGTCTTGACGCGCCTTCATCTCCAAAAGGCGCGGGCCCGGCAGCGACGGCTGCAGCGCGAGGCCCAGGATGGCAATGGCCGCCGCGAGCGTCCGCAGCTCCCACTTCTGCATCTGGTTCTCGTTGGCGAGCAGCGGCGTACTGTCCGTGTAGGTGGTGTCGCCGCGCAGCACCGCTTCCGAGATGTCGGCCCAGTCGTTTTCGAGGCGCGTCATGCGCTCCGTGATCTGCGCACTCTCGGCGGCCACGTGGTCCCCGATGAGGCGGAAGCGCATCGCCTCACAGAGCATCTGCACGACGACCAGTAGGGCCTTGGCTAGCGACTTCTTCTCTTCCTCGTTACTCGGGTCCTGCGGGTGGGTGGCGAGGTAGGAGACGGCGCCGCGGAGCGCGCTCAGGCCGAGCGGTAGCTCCGGCCGGCGTAGGCCCGCCTGCGTCTCCAGCCGCGAGTAGGTGAAGCCGCCCGGGAGGGCGGTAGAGCCGGTGACCAGCCGTTGTGCGTCTGAGAACGCGCGCCAGTTTGAGTTTGCAAAGGGCTCGACGCGGTAGCCGAGGAGGTACAGGTTGTCAGCCCGAAGCCGCACCGTGATAGTGAAGCCGCCAGTGTGCAGGCCCAAGTCGAACCAGTCGACCGTTTCGGCCGTCGGGTTCAGCGTCTGGGGAGGAAGAACACGGAGCGCTTCTGACCGACGGCAAGCCGCCAGCTCGGTGCGCAAGTCCTCCAAGAATTTGGTATATCCTTCCGCGCCCTGCGTGTCAAGATCAAAGGAACGCGGAGGGATCTTTTCTGCAGCCGCAGCACGCGGCTGCAGCTCCGAGTGCGTAGGGATGGCATGAGCGGTGCTGACCAGCAAGGCCAGAGTGAAGCACAGAAAACGGAAGAGCATTGCGGCAGATGAGCCTTTCATCATGTTAGAGATGCTTAAAAGAGGTGAGTCTTTCTAGGTCTGCATGACTTGGGAAGGACGAGGAGTGTTTTGGCAGATACTTTCTGTCCTCTTATAGTTCTATCTTTTCACTTGCTCGGGCTGCTAGCTCCGATCTGCTTCGTCCTTTGTAAAGCATGTTGTCTACTCTCAAGATGCATCACGTCAACGTACAACTGATCCGTCATGTCTGCAGTGTCGTGTGGCTAGCTGAACTCTCCAAGTAGTTGAGACAGTGACCGAATAATGAATCCATTTTCTTTGCTTGTCTCATCCTTCGTCCTGTTGTAGAAAGCCACGACGTCGATATATCGGGACTTCTACCAGTTCATGATCCTCGAGGCCTGTCATGAAGACTACCCCGTGCCACTCCATATTTCACACACTTTCGTTGCGCGACAGTCGTATTCTGCTTCGTGATAAGTGACAAGCTAGCCAAGCACGCCAGCTCTCCTTCCACGTCGTATACGCTCACAGATCTATCGTTTGCACTTCCCATCGTATATGGCATGTCGCGACCGTCTTCCCCGCAGCGACAGCATCTGCACGGCAAAGGCCACAGCAGCCACAACTCGACTTTAATTAAAAATGGATCGGCGTAGCCCCAAAGAATCCAGCCAGTTCGGTATTTATCATGTTGAAAGGAAGACGCATATGGAGACACTCCCCTCAATCGAAGAATTGCCGACGAGAGACAAGAATGTAGGGCCATGTAGATGTGCGTGTCTCATCACAGTAGCCTTACATGACATGCAGCAATCAGGACAGAGCCGGTCATTGGAGGAATGGCTGCCGCGAAGTTACGCGATGTAAGACAATCATATGTTGTGCATCTATAGCGGACCTAATACCGCCTATCAAGGCTAAATAGTACGTAAAGGCAACAGCGAAGATCCGGTCGGAACAAATTCCTAGACCCCGATGCACACATACCCTGCAGTGCAGCCTCCGAATGACAGGCCTTTGCTGCGACAATAAACAAGCTTGAATTATGCGTCAAGAAACGTGTTTTCGGGGGAAAAGCTCCGAGGCTTGATTCAAGCAGGAAGTCGGACACGATCCCGACATTACGTGTAGCTTCTTCTCCGTCACCAAGGAGTATAATCAGTACTTGGCCGGGTCGTGGCTTACATGAAGCTTGCAAATGCGTCGAAAAAGCGGATTTTGCAACTTGAAGCCAGCGCGGTAATGCAGTAGGTTCTCGAGGGTTTCGGCATATCGGTCTTTGTATTGCATGTGGTGCTGACAATCAGGGCCAAGACGCACATCATTCTCTCAGTCTCTCAGTCTTGGTATAGATTCACACGGGGGGAACACTCACCGGCCAGCTCACACCACTTTCAGATGTTTAGCAATGGGCACCTAGAATATAGAGAATAATCGTTCTCATCTTGAGCGGCTTCAGCCACCGCCGTCGGACACGTTCCAGAACGACGGCTTTGATTTAGTGATCAATTCTGAGGAAAATTTCACGTGGGCACTTTCTTATGCTATATAAGAAATGAAATATAGGCGGTCAAGCAGCGACCTCGGCCACGTGTGAAGGAGGTATGTTTGTAGGTATTCATCAAGTGTGCCCCTACAAACAGGAACTGCGAGCGGGGACCGGCTTCGTCCCAACATCATCACCAACGACTACGCAATTGAGGCAATCATGACAAGCCAAACGTCCGCAGACTCCTCATCGGACGATCGGGGTATTTTTTAAGGGCCACAACCATTGCATGCAACACTGACTAACTTTGCAGCTGCCTCAGACCCTCGCCCGTTGTGGCCGTCAATGACCAAACGATATTGCGGCATTCTAGAGATAATTATCCGTTCCGCGCACGTATCTCTGCCATCTGACGAAAACACCCGGGATTCCTTGGGACTCTTGCAGAAAGACAGTGAATGAAAAGTATACGCTGTAGTAGGCTGTGGCATGCACCAAATATCTTCAGCGGCCTCCTATTGGCGGCACGCCCTCCAAGTCCCCCACCGGAGCCCCCGGCACAGCCGCTCCCGGCGAGAATGGGTGCATCTCCAACTGCGGCACCGACGTCATCACCGGCCACACCCCCAAAAACACCTATACCATTGCCTACTTTGAGGCCTATGACTGGGACCGCCCCTGCCTGCGCATGGCCGCGGATCAGATCGACGCCTCCAAGTACACCCACGCTCACTTCTCATTTGCTGTGCTCACCGACGACCTGTCCGTCAGCGTTGATGACACGGCGACACAGTTTCAACTGTTCAGGACTCTGACGGGGATTAAAAAGATTGTTTCCATCGGTGGCTGGGCATTCTCCACAGATCCCGCCACCTATAAGATATTCCGCAGCGCCTTTCGCGGTGAGGTGAACCGCGGCAAGCTCATCGACAATGTCGTCAAGTTCCTGACGGACAATGACCTGGATGGCGTCGACTGGGACTGGGAGTACCCCGATGAGCCTGACATTCCCGGCATCCCCCCCGGTACCCTCGACGACCAGGTCGGCTTCTACCTCTTCTTTCAACAGCTGCGAAAGAAGATGCCCGAGGGCAAGTCTATCTCCGTGACCGCGCCGGCGTCGTACTGGTATTTGCAGCACTTCCCTATCCAGGGCATCAGCCTCGTCGTCGACTACATCGTCTTCATGACGTACGACCTGCACGGGCAGTGGGACTACACCAACAAGTACTCCTCCCCGGGTTGCGGCTCCTACGAGCAGGGGCTCGGCAACTGCCTGCGCTCGCACGTCAACCTCACCGAGACCATCAACGCACTGTCCAGGATCACAAAGGCCGACGTGCCATCGGATATGATCGTTGTTGGCGTCAGCAGCTACGGCCGCTCGTTCCAGATGTCCGAGGCCGGCTGCTGGACGGAGCAGTGCACCTACACCGGCCCAGAGTCCGGCGCGTACAAGGGCCGCTGCACCGGCACCGCCGGCTACATCTCTGACTTTGAGATCAACGAGATCCTGGCCCACAGCCCGTCGGCGCAGACGCACCTCGACCCGGGGTCCTACTAGGACATTGTCGTCTTCAACAATACACAATGGGTCGCCCACATGAGCCCGCAGAATAAGGCCTTTCGCAAGCTTCTCTACAAGGGCATGAACTTCCTCGGGACCGCCGACTGGGCCGTGGACCTGCAATCCGAGAGCGGCGAGGAATCTGATGGGGCTGCTGACTCGCACAAGACCATCTACGTCGACCCCAACATCTGGCAGTCGGCCACGCAGCTTGTCACGGCGCCTCCCGGCGCGACCCTCGTGTGGCCGCCGATGCCGCTCGCGTCGCCGACAACCATCACCTTTGAGCCGTGGAGCACCGTGGTCAGCTACTCGAGCCCGACGATCAAGACGACGACGCGAAGCGGCATCACCTCGACGTATCCGGCCAACGTCTACGTCACATGGCACACCGTCCTGTCCATCCCTCCGCTCGTCACCACGGCAATCCCCGTCTGGGGCGTCGGGCTCAACAACGCGAGCAGCACCGGCGGCGGCCCCATCATCCTTACGAGCTCCGTGCAGCCGCCCCCGTTCCCGTTCACGGTCCAGGTCACACCCGTCATCGACGGCACGACGTCAATCATCAGCCCTACGTCGACGTCGACGACGACACCAGCGGCCATCATCTGGGGCACCAAGACCTATGTCCCGCCCGTGGAGACAGAGACGTTTGGGAAGAGCACCATCATTATCGGAGGCAGGACCTTGCTTCCCACTGGCGTCGTCGTCACGCCCCATCCGTACCCGTCTAGCAAACCCACGCCCGGCACGGTCGACCCGGTGCTCAACTCGAAGACACCGACGTGGAAATCGGGCAAGGTACCGGAGCCCACTGCCCAGCCGGACTGTCACGGATGCCGGAAGCCGTGCCTTCTTTGGTGCGACTCGGACTGCCCATTCTGTCCACCAAGCGTCTTTGGCGGCGGCGGCAGCTCCGGCGGCGACCCGGACGACCCGGACGACCCGGATCGGCCCGACGGACACCACACCATCATGCTCGACGGTCTACTTAGAGAGGATGACTTTCCCGCGACGATCGATCCCTACGACGTGGCCACATCCGTCGCCGATGTGGAGTACTCCTGGTTCAAGTCGGTCTGGCAAGATTACCTATCTCCCCACCAAGCCCCTACAACAACTGTCTCCATACCGCCCGCAACAAAAAAAGCCCTACGCACGCTGCGTCATCTCAGACAGCTTCCTCTTCTGGACGTTTTCCATCTACGACATTGAAGGTTGGGCGACCGATGGCGGCAAGAAGCTCCACAAGGAGGAGAATGGCTGTGGCGCGCTCACAGGATGGTCCTGGCAGTCCAAGACGGACGAGGACTCGACCCACGTGGAGTTCAACCTGCCCTTTTTCATCAAGGATGGCTGCGTGGAGCGGGCCATTGTGTCCGCGGGCGGTCCCGCAATCTCGTGTAAGGAGGACGAGCTCTTTCAGCTGCACGATTGGCAGAATCGCAGTCCGGCGAGGAGGGAGACGGTGTCGGTGATGGGGACGCGGTCGAGGGGGGGCGGGAAGGCCAATGACAGCCCTCCATCGGTACCGTACGCTAGAGAGGAGATGGAGGAGTTTTGCGCGATTCTACATTAGTATCCAGCCAGAAATCGTCAACATGGGCACGCGTCCGCACTATGTGCCAATGGATTGGGGAACAGCTCGGGTAACGGGCATCGCTTTTTGAGGTCTGCTGGGTAGCCTATGATAGCGGTATCCGACCTTTATCTTCTCCTATGCCGATTTTTGCACTTGCTCTAAGCAACACATCAATAGCAGTTAGGTGTCCCTCTGTAGCGGCCTGAAGCAGCAGGATTTGGTTGTCATCGTCTCTCGTCTCGTGATAAGCGGCAGCAGTGCTCTTTGCCGACTTGAATGCCTGTTCTTCGTACTGTGTTTGCCGGAATCCTGTCGCGACCCTCGGATACGCGCACGCCATCTAGCACGCCCCATCTTACGTTACATTTCCATGCCTGTCTATGTACGATCGTACTGTAGTTCCGTACTTTGGATTCACCAATTCCTGGTGGGCGGGATTAGCCTCTTGGCGATGGCAAAGCGCCCGCCATTAACCTTGTCGCCAGCGGGACAGGCCAAGCAAGGTCACTGGTAGGGTCCTTGTGAATTTTGCCTGAAGTGATTAGATCGACCAGCGCAACGGCAATGTAGCCACCAATAGCTGTAAAGATGTGCCACCTGGTTATGCATATTTAGAGGCCATCTTGAGCAAAAATGAAGACAAAAACTGCTTACCATCCATGTAGCTCAAAAAGAAAAGCCAACGGAAGACCAACGGTATGCTTCAAATTTGTCAACAGCTGGCACAGCCAGTCATCCAGCAGCCAGACAAAGTATCCAAAGGCAAAATTTACTATGCCAAATGTAAGAAAAGGCTCTCGTTTCTGAAACGGGGTTACGTACAGCATCCAAATATGGCGATATTGCGAAGGTTGTCCCGAATGTGACGATCAGGCACTTGCTGAGAAATGAGCTTTAATATGCGCGTCGCAATTAAATAAACGCCAAAGCCAAAAGTCGTTGCATGAAGGAGGAATTCATCCATGAGCATGTGAGTGACCATGACCGTCGAAAAGAGCATGCCAAGCAGCACGCCAACAAATTTGGTGCGTCGTGGGCTTGATTGGAACGTCAAGAGTCGGTACAACAGTGGCGTCGTCAAAAGATGCATGGACAATTCGTCGGCTAAAATTAGGTGAGTATTGATTCCAAAGGATCAAGGACACGGCGCCGCACGTACACATTTGAGTGTGGTACTTTAGCGTCATGTGATAGCCAGCAGAGCAAATCCCGACGCCAATCAATCCACAATATGAAATCAGACGAGCGCTGGTTTGGCTTCTCAGGGCGAATCTGGACAGGCCGTATACTCCATATGCAACTAAAAGCCGACCGAGGTCAGTCAATGCAAAGTTCCAGCCATCTCGGATCACGTAGATGATTGAACAAACCAAAAGTCAAGCTGCTGAGTGTATTGATAAACTCAGCAATGTATCGCGTAACGACATAGTCCTAAAATTAACACGGTCGGGTTAGGTTATTGTCGTATAGCACAACAATCTATGGGTGATAATGTACCTCCTCGCAGAAACTAAAGATCGTGAGCTTTTAGCACATGAGCAGGGTTGTCTAAAACGTACTTTAGATACGATGTAGCCTCGCCCCAGAATGCATTGTTCCATCCTTTATCCATTATTTGCGGTCGATTGTAGCATAAGTAGGACTGGGAGAAGAAGAGAAATTTTAGATTCCACCCCTTTTTACTCATCATAGACAAAGAAAGTTAAGCCCGCGCCCGCACCCGCACCCTCGCTTCGCAAGCGTGCTAAATATCTACTATATCCTAATTAGCACTAGTTAGTAGTTTACTAATAGAATATATTATTAATATTAAAAAAACTTCTTAATAATCTCTTACATAAAAAGTATTATAAAAAATGTTATAAAATCTATATTATTTATTTAGAACTTAAATCTTTATTAAACTTATTAATTATTAGTATATATAATAATAATAATAAATTAAACTTAGATAATAACTAATAATAATAAGTTTTTTATATTTAATTACTCTTTAATTAACTACTCTTTATTATATTTAATATTTATTAATATAATTTCTTTAATAAGTAAATAGGCTAGATAAGTAAGTAAGCTATTATAAACACTCCTATATAAGGCGTAGATATATACTATAGCAGGTTAGCTATAGGTAAGATATAGAAGAAAGGAATATATAGTCACATAACTA